AACAAAGGCTGTAATGAAGTCAGCAGCTGAGTGGTCCTGGTGGAACCCAAACTGGACGTCACTGAGCAGGTGCTGCTTTATAGTACTATTGATGACACCTTCCATCACTTTATTGATGATCGAGAGTAGATTGATGGGGCGGTGATTGACCGGGTTGGATTTGTCCTGCTTTTTGTGTACAGGACATACTGGGGCAATTTTCTACATTGCTGGGTAGATACCAGTGTTGAAACTGTACTGGAGCAGCTTGGCTAGGGGAGCGGCAAGTTCTGGAGCACAAGTCTTCAGTACTATTGCCGGAATGTTGTCAGGGACAGTAGCCTTTGCAGTATCCAGTGTCTCCAACCGTTTCTTGATATCATGTGAAATGAATCAAATTGGCTGAAGATTGGGATCTGTAATGCTGAGGATCACTGGAGGAGGCATTGATTCTTCCATGGTTGAGGAAATGGCCCTACAACTCCCTTTTAACCATCAATCCATGCCATGGAAGTGATGTATCAGTATATTTAGCTGTCTTCACAAGCAAGTGTCAGCAGATAATGTGGTGCACACATGAATAAAGCAAAATGAATGAAATGTGAAATGTTTACAATTGAGATTTGCATCTGAAAAACCACCTCTGCAACTTTTGTACCCTCAATATGTTTTTTATGTTAATGAGGATGGAGTTAGGCAGCAAAGGTGTGGCCTTTTTGTTTTTCATTTATTCACAGGTTGTGGACGTCACTGGTTAGACTAACATTTGTTGCCCATCCAAAGAGTCAGCAACATTGGAGTCACAGGTAAGGATGGCAGTTTCATTCCCCAAAGGACATTAGTGAACCAGATGGGTTTTTCTGAGAGCCAGCAATGATTGTCATTATTAGACTCCTAATTCCAGACTTTTATTTAATTCAAATATATGGTAGAATTCGAGCCTGGTCCCCAGAACATTACCTGGGTCCCTGGATTACCAGTCCAGTGATAATGCCACTAGGCCATTGCCTCCCCTGCTGAATAACCTCGATGAACAGTCTCCCTGATTGTCCAGGAGGGTCTTTTGTAGCTCCTCTGTAATTGTTGAATTGTTAGTGGACAGCGTCCCCGCTACGTGATCACCTGTGCAGGCCACCAACATTTTAAATGTTGATGGTAAGTTAATAGTTCATTGTACGCACTTCCACTGAAGCACTGCTCTGAGGGTGTACGGGCTCCTGAGGCATCACTGGAGAAGCTGGTTCAGAGGGGCTTTCAGAGGATTGGTGTTGGGAGTGGGTAATATCCTTAGGATGACCCATAGGGAGGATGGCTGTCACCCTGTCCTCCTCTCCCCCTCGGTGAAGTGTTCCAGAAAGTCTCCTAATGCCCTTTAGAGGACTGGTTTACAGATCAGACATCAGATCAACATGAAATGGTGTATATCCTTTTAAACAACACTTGAAATCCACATCAGTGCTGTGTTGACTCAATTGTCGTTGTTCAGAGAGTCAAGCAACAAAGTGTCTGCAGGCTCTTTAATAAGCATCAGCAGGTATTTGAAGTGATGATCTGCTCCTTAATGAGCCTCTATGCAGTTTCTAATGCAGGCCACAACTCCTGTAACGAAGTGACATTTGGCAGTAAAACATGGGCTAACCATGCAGTGCACAACTCCATCCTTAGTAACTGAACATGCTGCAGAAATAAGCTCACTGTCTTGCGTATATCCTGAACTGGACATGAACTCTTTGCTCCTTCCTCATGTTGCCACCAATTCCTTCACTATCTCCTGTTTCTCAGTGACTAGCGCTTAAGACATTACTGTCATACACCACGGAAACAGACTCTTCGGCCATGATGACCAGGTTTCCTAAACTGAACTAGTCCCATTGCCTGCATTTGGCCCTTATCCCTCTAAACCCTTCCTATCCATGTACCTGTCCAAACGTTGTAAACATACCCACCTATAGTGAACTTGACCAGAACATTGGATAGTTTCAAACCCTTCTCTGACTTATATTCTAGTGTTGGCTGTCATGTGGAGAGTTAAATTCCAGACTTTGGTCTTCGACACAGCTGCAAAAAACTCATTCATTTTCAAAGAAACGGTATCTTATGCAGCACTTTGCAACTCCCAGCTTTAACGTTAATATTAATAATTTGACACCTTAAATATATCTTCCAGTTGCTAAAGCAGGACCACAGAATTTCTGGGGATGAGTTGGAAGGATCAGGCTGGAGATGGCTAATCCATGAAACAACATTGTATTAGTATCTTCCTCATCGGCATAAAGTTAACCTTTTTTCTGAGTTACCTATCTGCAGTTGAGACATCTTGAAGCCATGAAATGTTGTCTAAGTTTGGCAGGAAGAATAGAAGACCAGTATAGTATATAACAAAAGACACTGCCATAAGCTGCAGCACAAAGGGATTGGGGATTCCTTGTGCATGAATCACAAAAAGGTAGCATCCACATTCTGCAGGTAATAGGAAAACAAATGGACTTTTGGTCTTCATTTCAAAGGGAATGTTAATGTGCAAGTATGTATGTCATGCTAAAACTGTACAAGGTATGAGTTATGCCACACCTGGAAATACTGCAAACGGTTTTGGTCCCTTTTCTAAGGAAAGATATTACTGGTGTTGGAGGCAGTCCCGAGAATGGTCACTGGGCTGATCCTGGATACGGAGGGATTTTCTAATGAGGTTGGTCTTGTTTGCATTGTTCTCAACTCCAGTGAGAGGAGACCTTATCGAAACACATTGATTCTTAGGGGCTTGACAGGGTTGATGTAAAAAAGGTGGTTCACCTTGTGGGAGAATCTAGAGTAGAGGGCATGATCTCAGAGTAAGGGGTCACCCATTTAAGACGGAGATGAAGAAGTTTCTTCTGTCGAAGGTAATGAATCTGTTGAACTCTTTTTCACAGAAGGCTGTCAAGGCTGGGTCATAAAACATTCTCAAGGCTGCAATAGACAGATTTTTAATCAGTAAGGGAATCAGGGTTATAGAGAAAAGACAGGAAACTGGAGATGAGGATTATCAGAGCAGCCATGATCTTGATGAATAGCAAGCAGACTTAGCAGGCTGCATGGCCTACTTCTGTTCTATGTCTTATGATCTTGTAGTTCCTTCTTTCTCATGGCCTTTTCACTGTTTTTGTACCTGAAGTGTGCAGTGTAGAGCTGGCAAGAACAGGTCTAAACTTCATACATTTCATTGTATCATCAGGCTACCCTTTCGGAGAGATAAAATACCCTCTTTGGATCTGGCCGGAAACAGTTTTGGGGTAGGTAAGATGTTGTTTGGATCTGTTAGAAGTAGGCAAAGATGTGCATATAAAGTGCATAAGCTCATTCACACCAAGCTCAATGGAACTGTCACCAGACTTGTCAAGATCACTAGTCAAAGCTGTCACCAGACCTGTCAAAGGGACTGGTCAAAGTGCCAAGACGACCTGTCAAAAACACCTGTCAAGGCTTTTAAATATTTCTGCTTTATATCTTTGAAAAAAAAGTGTTTAAAAAACAAAAGCCTGCGATTTCAGTACTTATGTAGGTTTCAGGGTTTCCATTACTGGTTTAGTGCTGTATGGTGGATTTCATTAGCATATTAACACAGTAGTTGCTTTCCATTTCACAGTTTCATTGACAGCAAATGGTTATAGATTCTCTGTTACAGACTTATAAACTTAATTCTTGTTGCTATGATGAATTGTGCATTTGAATGAAATGTTTGTTGTTATAAGGCCTATTTAGTTAATGAAATGTAAATAGGATTTTGTGGATTTTTTCCAGTTTTTTTATTACCATGAGATGTGGGGATCACTGGCTAGGCCAGAATTTATTGCTTATCTCCAGCAAAGACCATAAATTTTTACACTTAGAAATTTACTTTACAGAATTTTGTTTTGTCTCAGCTGCGGATCCTATGAACTACTGATTATGGATACGGGGTAATTTGGCAAGCAGTTGTGTGTCTGGGGCTAGCATTGGCACTGACAGCATAGGAGTTATAAAGGACCTTGAGCTGGGGAGCAGGGCATAGCATGGGGCCCATAGAGATTGTTTGGGAGACAGAAGAATTTCTGGTATGGGGAAGCATTAGGGGCTTTTGAGGGGTATATAAATGTTACCTGGGTTTTGAAAGGGCAGGTTGGGAAGATGAGTGGCATCATTTGGATTTGGGGAGTGTATATGTGGGGGCTAAAGGGATGTTTCATGCTTTATTGTTTATCTTTAAACTTCTCCATGAAACTGGATGTCTGAAGCAGGTCTTTCACTCAGCCCACCTCCCAGACTGGCAGCCTCCTTTGTTCTTCCATGGTCCCTCAGTCCGATTTCTAATCCAGCCAGCATATCCACCAGGACCGGAGATCTAATGTCTAGGCACTAACTTTTTAAAAGATCAGATTCACAAAAAAAAGTATTCTCCTATCTCTGCATACTGCCCCTTGAGTGAAATCCTGACATCCGTCTTTGGTGTAGTTGCATCTCAAGTTATATTAACCTTGATCAAATTTGTGACTAGTGTTCCTTGTTGGTCCTGCAATGTCCCAACTTTAAAATTCTCCTCCTCGTTTAAAGTCCTGTTTCAGTCTCTTCCCTTTTCCAGTCTTTCACCTTCTGGGAACTCTGCTTTTCTCCAACTCTGGATACCTCCATGAAGATCCCCTACTCCACCAAAGGTGAAGCCATCTGGACCATAAGCTGTTCCCACTTTCTCTCAGTCTGCAAAATATTCCTTAAAACCTACCTCTTTTGGACAGGTGATTGACCAACTTGTCTTAATATCTGCCTCTTGAGATCAGCAAATTTTATTTGACGATTGAACATTTTATAAAGGTGTTATGTAAATACAACTTTGCCACCATATAAATGCAACCTTTTGGTTGTTAAACATTTCCTTTTGCAAACTTGGTGGGTCCTGGAGGGACATTGTTGTCTTTAAGTACAGAATATTCCAGTGTGTAACGTAGTGAAACTGAGATAAAAATTTCTTAGGATAGTTGAGGGGGAAAATAAAAACAGACAAGGCATTCGAATTTTTAAACATTTTTTAAATATTCAACAACAGTATTGTGTATCAATCAAAAAAAAAGTAAATTACTTACAGGCAACAAAGATTTGCAAACAAATCTTACAGTATAATTTCCACCACAGTTATTTAAAAAGAACATTTCAGTTGGACACTGTGGTGCTTTTCCTTTATGTACAAAGGTAAACTGAAACAATACATGGGAATTTCATAAAGCTTCTTTCGTAGCTGTGAAACAAAAAGGGCAAGTGGGAGGTGAAGTGGAAGTGAGGAGAACAGCTGTTTAACAGAAACAAAGCCAAGCTCAACATCTAGGACTGTCCTGTGTGCAATGAAAGGGGTACATTAACAGTCTCAGTTGAGTTCAATTGGGAATTAAATCCCTTATGAAGAATCAGACCAAACAAGTGTTACCTTGTCTGTAGATCAGAGGTTCATGTATTGTGTCTAACAGTAGATCTAGCTTACTCAGTACATTCTACAATATAAAGGGGCCACACTTACTCTAGTTATGACACTGTCACGTATACAGTGTTGTTCTCATCAATGAAACTATTCATCTATCCTTTACCATCAAATGTGAGAGAGTCAGTGAAGGTTAGCTGCTCTAAAGGAAAAAGTTCATATGTTGTTGGCACTTGTCTATTACACTCCTCCATATTACAAGAAGGAGAAAAAGTGTTAAGATGACCAGAGAAACGATAGCATCTTGTTTTAAATGAAACTAAATGTAACAACTGCTGCTAAAATGTGAAGGCCAGATCACAGAGTTTGCACAATGTAGCATCAATCGCAGCAGTTATTTGCCCCACTGTTTCACTTTCGATATTAGGTACATAAAAGGTAATGAAAACAGTGCTGTTGAGGCTGGCTGTGGAAAGAAAATTTCAAAGAGATAGATTTTTGTTCGATAAAAGCATGAAGGTTTATGGAAACAACATAGGTACTGGGTATGGATCAGCCATGATCCAAATGGCAAGATGGAACAGGCACAAGGGGCCGAATGTTTCCTACCATATCCGCTTTTCCTACCATTTCTCAGTCTATTCCACATGTACCACAACGTGTATCTGCCTCCACTGAGTTGGAAGCACCCCTTTAAGGTAGTGGCCCCTATACAACACAGAGCTAGAGAAGGGGAGGCACGTGGAACAGTGTCATTCCTGACAACAGACTTTACGAAGGAAAATAGTCCAGATCATTTTAAAACAGGATGCCCTAGTGCTACAGAATTCAATGCTCAACTGGTATAGATCATGATCACATGCTGCAATTGCAACTACATTCAGTCTCCCAGGATCTAATCAAATGTGGAAGGCTAGATATCAAAGCAACATCAACGTAAATGTGTGCTCATTCCACTGTGATAACGATAAAGTCTATTTTAATTTATCAATCAGGACGGTGGTCTGATGTAACCTTAACAAGAGATCTGTTAGTGATCAGAGAGAAAGACTGCATGGATGGTCATAGCTTTCAATGCTTCACCTCTATGAATTATACAAATCTGGCCTGTGAATGTTGGCACTCATACATAAGTGGTGAGCATTGGAAGGTTTTTTTTTGACCATGAGTGTAGCAGTGAAAACTGACCCTATCTTCTCCAGTGTTCACATGCACTTTCCTTCGTTTAAGGATCATTCACTAGGTGTCAGACTTTAGACCATGCCTGATACCCAACCCTCCCCAGAGCTGCGCAAGTCAATTATGCAGCCTCAGTTGCTACCCCATCTGAAACCAACAATCTCAGCATTGACCATGGATTGAACGAGAAACCTTTTTGGTCTCTCTGGTGCCTCAGCTGTTTGACCACCTGACAAATCAGGTGATGCAGCATCGACATTTTAATGCAAGAAACATACTACTAACTCCCTGAGCTGCGTGATTTGCAGCACAACCATACAAGCTCCTGCAAATAACTTGATGGTTGTTAAGATAACGACAGTTTCAGTATTAACAAGATTAGTGCTGGACCGAACATGATTCTGCCCTGACGCAAAGTTGCTCCTTCCTCTTCCAACTCTTAAGCTAATACAAAATCGGTGAAATTGGGGTAAATATACACCTTGCACAATATCACCTAGGTTGCTTATTATACACCCCACCTGATAAGCCATTCCACTGCCTTCAATGGAGCTTAAATCAGACAGTAGTCTAACAGACAGTTGATGAGATTTTGATCGTTTAACACTTAGCAAAGACTAATTACTACCCCAATAAGTTGTGTGTGGCTGGAAGTCATTTAGATGGAACAAGATTTGAGGGGCTGAACAGTCTCGTCCTGCTCACATGTTCCTAAATAGGGTGAGAAATTTGGCCACACATCACTTCCCTGGCATCACATGGCTTCATTCACATCCAAAAGCCACAAAAGGTATGTGCTACACACATCCCAGGTGGGGACGTGAGACAGACTTGGGCTAGTGAGAACACCTGAATGAGTTCATTGTGGTCTGAATGCTGACACTCTCCTCGCCGTTGTGCTACAATCCTATTCATTCAGTTTGATAAATTCCTGGAAGGTTTCCCCTTCCTCTTGTTGCTTGTGTTTAGTGCAAAAAAAAAATTGGGAGTCGGTCCTTCATTACGACATGGTCGCCCACACCACAGTTTAAAAGCATATAAACAGTTCAAATATTTACCTTCATTTTCATCGTGTAATAATACACAACTTGGGAGCAAATTGTTTGCAGCTCTTGACACATGCAACATCATGCCCAATAATCCTCGAGTTTGAGGGTAATGTCTTTTCAACACATTCCAAAATGAAGAGGCTCAAAAACAATGTTTGAATAGCTTAACCTCCTCATCAAGTCAGTTCTCAAATAAAAATGAAACAAAGGAAACACAATTGGTTATTCCTTGTTATTTGTTTTCCCCCTAACCCGCTGAAAACCCACACCTCAGTTGAGGTCCAACAGAGAGCCTTTAGTGACATCACTAAAATACTTAGAACAAAGTGCCTTGTGGAGTCGTCGATCCCAGGTGATACCAGCCAACAATTTTCTGGTTCAGGTTGAAGTCCTTGAGGTTAATGTACACCTCGCCGAGCATTATGTTTTCCCGGAACGCTTCCTCACTCAGCACACGCAAGTGAATAACACGCTGCTGAACATCTCCTTTGGGAATACCATCGTACACCAACTGGAAGACAAATAGGAATTTTTTTTCAATGTTCAGACTGTAATTTACAAACTCAGCAATATTATTTTTCAGCAAGATACATTTTTGTCACATCTCTCTGAGACACATGGATACAATGCCCTCCCACCTAATTCTCCAATCCTCACTTCCCCAATGGCTATCTTTACTCTACTGTGTTTCTTCTAAGCTTCCTCAGATACGGTTTCTGTGAGGAAATGCTCTACTTTTGTAAACTTAACTGGCCTCACCACATAAATGCAGTTGCGTCAAGAGCAGGTCAGAGGCTAGGAATACAGTGGCGAGTAACTCATCGTCTTCTGACTCCCTAAAGCCTGTCCACCATCTACAAGGCATAAATGATGGAATAGTCTCCACTTGCCTGTCCTTCAGCCTACATGAATGCCTATCATTTGAATAAGGGTCAAGAGATAAGGACTGAGTTGTTTGGTGACAATGATCTTTCAGATTTAAACTTTGATTGTCAAGGGAGAACAAAATTACTTTTATGAGGTAACTGGGTGCCAGTTTGTTCAATAGAGAATTTGGTTATGTGCAGTTAATCCAAAGAAATCTATGAAAAGATGGTAACAAACTAAAGGGTTGGAGACAGGGATGCAACTTTGTGCTGGTGTATGTTACAGACATGCAATAACACATGTACTCAGTATTTTGCTAAACTTATTCACAACTTTTAAAAGCAAGGATTAAAACTTCAATTTTAATTTCAATTCAATTATTTGTCACAAATTAAATGTATAAACGAATTAACAAAACTGACATTTCATTCAGTTGATTGAACCTAAAACCTGGACACCTGCCAATCTTTCTCAACTTTGTGACAGTGTTTTAATTGCATGATTCCAAAGATCCTCTGCAAACTGGCCCTTCAGCATCCTGCTTTTAGCTTCCTCACAGGAACTCTACCTGAATGTCTCCACTGCATGTATTCTTGGAATATTCAATACACCTACCATTTCATTATATGTTGGGTTACAAGTCTTTCGAGCTACTTTAGTCTTTCGCTTGCTTGTTTTCTGAGGATCCGGCAGTAGATAAATTTTCACGTAAGGATCAGGATCAGTCCCATCCTGCAAAACCTGTGGTAACAAAGACGATGCAGTTAGTTTCATTGAAGTTGGTAAAACCCTGTTTAATTGAGATGCAGAGACGTCTAATACAACATGGGAAACACCAATCTGGACGATTATGAACTCCATTTTAAATCAAAAATAAAAGACTATAACCCACAAAGATCCTTCAACTGTGAGAAATGAAGAGGCATTTGAGTCCCAAAATGAATCATTATGTTGCTCTAAGCAACAATGTGAAAAGCCTTAGAGGGAAAGATTAGCCTTGCGAAGAATTTTAAAATGCCAACATGGGAACAGTTTGTTCCTGTTCACATGGGGTGTCTGGAGGACACAAATATGCGGTCCATTTACTTGGCAGTAAATCAGATCCATGTCGGAAAACATCAGATCTTCAGCAACTTGGAATGATCTTAAATACTGACCAACTAAGAACATTTAGGCAAAATGCCAAACGTCAGAGAAATCAAAAGATCTTCATACTACTTTTTTTAAAGGCTTTAAACTGTATCTATTTTTATTCAGACAGTAACCTGGACTGTCCTTTTGCCTGACCAATAATTTATAGCCACTGAGATACTTACCAAGCCTCGAATGTGCATCACCATGATAAAAAGCTTGTCATTCTTGTAAGAGATGGATAGCTTCACTTCTCCACCAACCTTCCCCATTGGTGGTGTTGGAGGGACATCTTTGGAGAAATGAAAATTAAGTATAGAAGGATGAGAACATGCATATGGAATGAATTGTCCCCAGACAAGTAGTGACTATGAACACTGCAATGACTGTTCAACACCCAAAGTATAAAGAGAAACTTAAATCTGATCAGAATCTATCTTTCTATGCTTTTCTAATCCAAATATTATTTAGCAGGAACTCAGGTCTGGTAGCATCTGTGGAGGGAAAGCAGAGTTAACATTTTGAATCCAGTGACCCTTCTTCAGAACTTTTCTGAGGTAGGGTCATCGGACCTGAAACATTAACTCTGATTTTTTCTTCACAGATTTGCCAGACCTGCTGAGCATTTCCAGCAACTTCTGTTTTTGTTCGTTCTTCAGAACTGCCAGACTTGGTAAGTATCGCAGTGGTTACAAGCTCTGAAGAAGAGTCACTGGACTCAAAGTATTAACTTTGCTTTCTGTTGACAGATGCTGCCAGGCTTGCTGAGTATCTCTAGCAATTTCTGTTTCAGATTTCTAGCAACCAGATTTCTTGGTTTTACAATGTTTCACAGGCTTAGGGACATCAGAACAGGGACTGGCATTGAAGTGACCAAGGGGTTATTCATTAAATATAGACATGAGTGCAGCCAGAAATAACATAAACTGAGGTCAGCAGCTGTAACGGACTATGCCTCAAAAACAACAGCATATAAATAATGCTCAATGGATGAAAAAGCAAGTTCAAATCTTGTGGTCTACTTAGGACTCCTCTTTCTTTTAACTGTTACTGATTTTATGTTGGGATCATTAGCATAGGCACTGGACTCCAGCCTGCATTGGCATGTGAAAACAGAAACATATTCTTGAAACCAGTAAGCACTTCCCAGATTTAGCAATATTTCATAAATTAGCAATTGTCTTTCATAATGTGATGTTACAGGAAAGCCTGGCTGAAGTTTCAGTTTTGGTTTATTGAAGAGTTAGTGAGATTGAAGAAAGTAGAAGAATGGCATTGAGTAATAACTGAGGTAGTGCATAAACAGGCCACTGCAGAAATGGTGTTAATCTTTCTGATGAAGAGTCACACCAGACTTGAAATATTAACTCTATTTCTCTCCACAGACATTGCCAGACCTGCTGAGTTTCTCCCACATTCTGTGTGCTTGTTTCAGATTTCCAGCATTCAAAGAATTATGCTTTTATTCGATAAATGTTCATGGG